AAGAAGAAGAAGAAGAAGAAGAAGAAGAAGAAGAAGAAGAAGAAGAAGAAGAAAAAAAAGAAGAAGAAGAAGAAGAAGAAAAAGAAAATGATGATGATGAAGGAGGAGGAGGAGGAGGAGAAGAAGAAAAAAGAAAGAGAGAAAGTGAGAGAGAGAGAGAGGAGAGAGGGACAGAGAGAGAGAGAGAAACAGACAGACAGACAGAGACAGAGACAGAAATTCTTTATGCTCTATGTGTGCATTTGCGTGATCAAATGTATACACAGACAAAAAAAACATAGTACTCAAAAAAATTGTAAAAGTAAATGCGGATAAAGATCTCGCTTATTGTTTACTTCCGTCTGATCTTGGTTACAAATACTCATTGATTATCACACGCCTGGTGCTAAAAACAGTTTGGAATATTCGAAATATTTGAACAAAAAAGTAGCAGCTGTAAAGAAAAACACGGCTTTGTTTTCTTCTCATAGATTCAGAAATGAAATATGCCGATCAAAGTAAGTACATTGTTAACTGCGGATACAGGCCCATCTGAGTTTTACATAATATATACCAAACACAAAGAAATAGTTGAATGTTGTGTTTACAGTTTTATTCCCTTTGATAAAAACGAACATCTCTACTCTGCTTTCGGGTGACGTTTCGTTTTTGGTTTTAATTTATTTTTGTATGGGTTTAATGGAGTATGTTACAGAAAGGCTATCATTGGAAAGTGGAAAGTGTAAAAGTGATTACACCGACGCGAAACAAGGTGCATTAGCTTACCTATCGCTAGAAATGCACAGGACAAAAGAGAAACGTGATGGAGTGAGATAAATGGACAGACAGAAAAGGCAAGTGAGAAACACTATTTATATATAATCTGTGCGTCCGTGTTTGTGTCTATCTGCGCGGGTATGTGTGCGTGACTGTATGTGTGTGTGTGTGTGTGTGTGTGTGTGTTTGTTTGTATGTGTGTGTGTGTGTATGTGTGTATGTATGTGTGTGTGTGTGTGTGTGCGTGTGCGTGTGTGTGTCTGTATATGTGTTTGTGTGGTATGAGAATGTGTGGCTGTATTTATTGGGGGGGGGGCCAATCATCTAATCATGTAGAATGTGATTGAGTTATAGAGGTTGGGGTGGGGAAGGGGGATGCTTCGCTCAAGGAGGGTGGGATTTTGTTTGAGAGGGGAGAGGGGCGGAAAGGGGTGAAGAGAATTGGGGAGGGGGGATGGGAGGCTCGATCAAGCCACTGTTATTGTAAGGCGCACGTGCTCGCTCCATCGATCTCTCACAGGTGGGCGAGGAGAGCGCGCGGGGACGGGGGAGCCAGATTCTGAAGGGCGCACGCGCTTCCCCCTTGTGTGTGAGCATGCACGTGCCGGCACGCGCCCACAAACGCGGGAGTGAGGACAAATGCACATGCGCGGCGCACCGCCTCACGTCCACGAGGCGTGTTGCACAAACCGCGTATTTAAACAACGGCCTGGCGGGAGATACGGCATTATTACACTGACCATGCAGGAGTTTCTTAGAATTCGTCTCTTTATCTGTCGACATGACTCTCCTCCTCCGCCTCTTGCCGATGCTTAAAATAATCCCTACACTCTCGGGGAAGGAGAAGTTGTCAACACATGTGTGTGAAATTCTATTCCCACGTTCCTTTTATTGTTGCTGCTCAGAAAGATATACTTAACAATGTAAAACAAAGAAACACCCTAGATACAAAAGAGAGAAAACGAAAAGTTCACCAAAAAAATAGTATGGACTGTAAAGATGTTGTAAACAATGAGGCAACATTTCTCATACTGTGAGACGCACATCAGCTGCGGTTCTAGTTTTTGCCCACATGTATTCTCACTCTCAACGAAAGGGAAGGATTTATGCTTTTAGAATGTTCAGCATTATCTTCGCGTCAAGAATAGCTGTGACGCATTAAGGGGAACAATACTATAATGCATGTGTGGCATGCGGACGAATTAATGATTTCATACTGGACGATATGCAACGGTTTGTTTCTGCAGGTGTGTTTTCGGATCTTGGCCCTTGCCTCTGGTTGAAAACAGCTGAATTTTAGTTACACTCAACCGATTATTTTATACTATATAAATCAGAGTTTTCTCTTACTTAAGAAACAAAAGGCAGAAGAGGCAAAGGCAGGGCTACAAACAAGAATGACACTTACTGAGAGATCTTGGGCAAGTAGATGATGGGAAACAACCTGGATAACTTTAACATACACTTTTTGAGAGCATCCAAGTAGAGAGATACGTGTAAAGCTGTGATCTTCAATTACTCTTTTCTTACCAAAATTATGCTTATGGCGTGGTTAATAACTTTGTAAACATCTGTTGTGGGTTTTTAGACATTCTCTGCCACACACACTCTGAAAAGCTAAGTGGCCCATAACTTTGGGAAACGTTAATTTGTCTAACCAACAGTTAGTAACTTTTTTTAAGGTCTCGATTGAAATTCTTTCTCTAATGAAAACTTGGTTCACAGCTTTCCTTGTGAGTGTTCTAAACCCCTTAGCTATGAATTAGAACAGGATCAATAACTCCCAGGAATGAACGTTGCTCCACAATATTATTAAAAACTGTTTAAACAGATAGTAAACAGGCAGGTAAATACCACAGATACAGTGAAAAAGGCACACACACACACACACACACACATACTAAGAGATAGAAGGAAAGAGGGAGAGAAAGTGAGAAAAAGAAAGATCAAGAGGGATTTGGAGAGAGGGAGAAAGAGAGAGAGGGAGAGAGAAAAAGAGAGAGAGAGAGAGGAGAGAGGAGAGAGAGAGAGAGAAAGAGAGAGAGAGAGAGAAAGAGAAAGAGAGAGAGGGAGAGAGATAGAAAACGAAAAACGAAAAAGGCAGACAGTCGGATCTGTCATACAGCTATCCATTAAAAAAAAACAAACAACAGCGACACGTATTGAGACAAATAAAAGGCCATAGCTCATTTCCAAAAGCCCAAATAATTCGGAATCTTCTTCAAACACACAGCATTGTCCTCGAACTCAACAACACCCTTTCTCGTCATAAAAAACAAAACCAACCCTCCCCCCAAAAAAACACCACCATCCTGCCCCACCATCACAGCCAGGGAGAATCCTGCCTGCCTTCCCTTGAGAGGCTCCACTGTGCCAGCACACGTGAGCATGTAGTCCTTTTGTGTCGTCGACGTGAGCGCTAATCCTACCCTGGCCTCTCACGAATACCTGTGCACGCTCGCACCTTTGTGGCGAATGAGCCCCCAAGTCGATGAGCGAACGTCCCAAGATTTGCTTTCTCGTGTGAACACGAGTTTTTCCAACTTCGCACTTTTTTGTGCCTTGTTGTATTTGCTTTTGTTTTTTTTGTTTCGATGTGGGTTTTTTTTGGTTTGCTTTGTTTTATTTGTTTTTGTTTTTGTTT